AAGTGTGACCCCCCCGACCCTATGCCAGGGAGTGAGACCTCCCCGGGGCCTCGCCAGGAAGTGTGACCCCCCCGACCCTATGCCAGGGAGTGAGACCTCCCAGGGGTCCCCGCCAGGGAGTGTGACCCCCCCCCGACCCTCTGCCAGGGACTGTGATCCAACCACACACCCTCCCCCCTTTCAGGGAGTACCCCCATCCTGACATCCCCCTGGTCCCCCAGCACACCACTGGCCAACCCCCCGATCCTCTCTCCTTCAAGTGAATGATCCCCCCCCCAGCCCCCCATCCTCCCAGCCAGGATTAACCCTCAGAGCCTCCCCTCTGTAGTGGGTCTAACCCCCCCCCGACTCCCACTTCAATGAGTACCCCCAACACCTCCTCCCCAGGAGTACCCCCTCCCCCTTGCAGTAAATTCCTCCCTCAGCAGCCACCCGACTCCGCCAGAAGGGGGCACTGTGGGGACCAGGGCAGGGCGCTGGCTGCGTGGGGAACCCACAGCTATGCCAGTCCCAGGCTCTCCCTGCAGGGGGCGCTGTGGGGAGCGGGGTGGGAGCAGCTCCCGGCTATGCCAGTCCCAGGCTCTCCCTGCAGGGGGCGCTGTGGGGAGCGGGGTGGGAGCAGCTCCCGGCTATGCCAGTCCCAGCCTCTCCCTGCAGGGGGTGCTGTGGGGAGCGGGGTGGGAGCAGCTCCCGGCTATGCCAGTCCCAGCCTCTCCCTGCAGGGGGCGCTGTGGGGAGCGGGGTGGGAGCAGCTCCTGGTTATGCCAGTCCCAGCCTCTCCCTGCAGGGGGCGCTGTGGGGAGCTCCCAGCTACACCATCCTTGGCCTCTCCCAGGGGGTGCTGTGAGGTGTGGGGTGGGTGCTGGGTGGGCTGGGGTCCCCCCCACTTGCTTAAACCCCCCCCCCCCCATGTGCTCAGGGCTCAGCTGGACGCCGACTTGCCGCTGTCCCAGGAGCAGCTGGAGCGCCTCGCCACGCGGCTCAGCCGGGACATCCTGGCGGCCACCCACACCCTGCGCCGCCTCTTCCTGGTGGAGGATCTGGTGGACTCGATCAAGGTGGGTGCTGCCCCTCCCTCCCCCCAAAGGGTCACCCCAGCTCCCTGTCCCTGCTGGTGTAGGGGCCTTGGGCCCCCTGTGAGCATCCTGGAGTGGGGGCGGGAGAAGTGTTGATCTCTGTTTACCCCCCCCATGGGGACAGGGGCACAGCAGGGGAGGGTTCTCGCCCCCCGTTATATGCTTCCCTTGGCTGTTAGGGAGTCATGGGGGGGCGGGGGTGGTACCTACCCCTGGGTCTGGCAGGAGGGAGCAGGAACTGGGGGGATAGTCAGCAATGTGGGGACTCCTTTCCATGGGGGCGGGGGGCAGTGATTAGCAGGGGGTTCTGGGGAGCGGGCGAAGGGCCCCCCATGCCTGCTGGAGGGGGATGCCCACTCTGCAGAGTTTTGGGGGTGCAGGGGGAGCCAGAGCCTGAGGCTGGGGTCATGGCCCAGCAATGCCCAGGCCGTGTGGCCAGTAGGGAGGCGGCCAGGTGATGGCCACGCCAGGTGGGTGGGGCCGGTGGGGAGGCGGCCAGGTGCTGGCCACGCCAGGTGGGTGGGGCTGGTGCAGGGCGGGCGCCAGGCCAGCGCACTGGGAAGACGCACTGGGAAGACGAGCCCCAGGGGGCCACACACTCACAGCTGGCCCTGAAGCACCAGAACTGGACCCCACGGCTTCGCCCGCAGGGATCAGGCCTCCAGCTGCCCTCCCCACGCCCCTGCCTGAGCCGGAAGGTGCTGGGGGTGCTCCCGCCCTGGCACTCAGGCTCAGCGCAGAGCCAGCTGAGGCCGGTCGTTCCCCACTCCCCCCGGGCTCTGACCCTGCTGGTCCCCGATCCCAGCGCTGGCCTGTCCGCGCACAGCCCTCCCCTGCCCCTGCTGTTGGGCAGAGACCCTCATGCGCCAGCAGCACCTGGCGCCTGGGACTCTGAGAGTTGGATTTCGGGTTGCCAACTTTCTAATCTCACAAAAATCGAACACCTTTGCCCCGCCTGCTGCCTCGAGGCCCCAC